CAACAGATTTTTGGAGGGCGTTACCAACAGAGCTCATTAACATAAACAGCTCTTCTGAACAGAAGTCAGAGCAGGCAGAACTAGAAAATGGGAAATTTTATTYTCTGAGAATTATTTTGTGCATTAAATTGAATGAACATGGACTGGATAGCCCACAGACATACCATAAACATTTCTACGACCCATAATTGGTCTCCTTTAAACAAAGCGCAGCGTAATCATCCAGCAGGCAAACATGAAGGGGTTTTTAGCCTCTCGTTCTGTCAAAAATTAAACTCGTTTCCTGCAGTTTTCAGACCATTCTTTTTTATTATCCAACAAAAACAATAGTGATGTCTAACTAACACAGCCCTCTGAGTGGACCATTACTTTAAGTGTTTAACAAAGCACCATCATGAGTCATCCACCGCTCAGATGATTACCATCATTGTGTTTGTGCAGGATGAGAAGCAGAGGATTGAAGCTCTGGGGGGATGTGTGATCTGGTTTGGCACATGGAGGGTCAACGGGAGCCTGTCTGTATCCAGAGCAATAGGTACCTGATGGTTCATTGAAACAGATGCTTTATAATTGATGGTGAATCAATCAAAGTTATCATGATCGGTCTCTTGTTTCGTCAGGTGACTCCGAGCACAAACCCTACATCTGTGGTGACGCAGACCATAGTATTTTCCCATTAGACGGCTCAGAAGACTACCTGATCCTGGCCTGCGACGGCTTCTGGGACACAGTGAGTCCAGACGAGGCGGTGCGGGTGGTCAGCGACCACCTCCAGGAGAACACCGGAGACACCACCATGGTCGCCCACAAGCTGGTGGCCTCGGCCCGAGACGCAGGCTCCAGTGATAACATAACTGTCATAGTGGTGTTCCTACGGGACCCCCGTTCCCCACCGCCCACCAGCACCGAGGACGAGGAGGAGGGCGTGGTGGAGGGGCCGGTGGAGGAGGAGGAGGTAGCAGAGGTGGAAGAAGAGGAGCAGGAAGACGAAGAGGAGGAAGACGAAGCCATGAGGGTGGAGCGTGAGGGAGGCGAGGGAGGCAGTGCTGCTGACGTCGGGGGGAAGAGCCGTGGAGGGTGGCCCCTGCAGCAGTGCTCGGCCCCCGCCGACCTGGCATACGAAGACCGAACGGACTCATTCACGGACAGAACGAGCCTCAGCCTGCTGGGGCCGTCGCTGGAGGGGCGGATCTCCCTGATCCGAGGCTGGCGGAACCCCTGCTTCAGCTTTAGCCCGGATCTCTTCACGGCCCCCCACCGCTCCAGGGTAGAACGCCCTCTGAGACGCAGGGCGTGCGTCCCGTTTCAGGAGCCGGGCGCCTCCGGCTTTACGGACCCTCTATGGCCTCAGACAGCCCTGCTGTTGGGCCGAGCGGTGCAGCAGAGCCACAGGTCTGGTTCTGCCAGTCGTCGATGGGTCCGGAGGTGGTCGAGCAGATCCAGGGAGCTGCTAGGTGTGACATCATRGGGCCACAGGCGGTGCTACTGGAGGCCTGAGGCTGTGCTGCCTCATCTGGCCCACAATCAAACCATCTGACGGGGCACGCCAAACCAAACCATGGCAATCATTTCTTTACCACCCCACCTCCCTGCCCCTCAGCCCACCCACCTCTGCCTTCAACACGTCTTTCTTTGATAGTAAGTAGTTGTGGCTCCTGCAGTCGTTACGTGATGACTCAGTCTCCGTTAGACGACTGGTTCTCTCTGTTCTCAGTCCAAGTGTCTCCAAACGTACAGCTGGCCCACTAAACACGCCCTGCTTGTCATCGCTTTAGGTAAAAGTCCAAACTGCCTCCTCTCCATTGTGACCACTGATCCGTCACGATGAAGCCAGAGCTCAAAGTATTGGACAATAGGATGTATTCATGATGATTGTGAAATAAATATTAGAATTAAAATGTGAATTTTGTGTGTATGGGATCATAAAGAGGAACAAACATGGTTTAATGCAAACATTATTTCATCGGTGTCACTGCAGGATAAAGGCAGCAAAAAAGGGATTTCGAGTGCATTTTTAAACCAGTCACCTGGTCTCCAACACGTTAGCTGGCAGGAGTTTAAAAAACTGGACTCTGAACGCCCTCAAGTTAGATTTCAAATCAGTATGAAGACACATTTAAAGGGATCCATGATTAGTTGTAACATTAGACTTTATTTAAAAAACATATACTTTAACTGTAAAATAAAGACTATAGGATGTTTTTATAATTTTTAAACTAAAAGTTTAAAAATATATTTTAACATGGATGGGGCCATTTTATTTACACGCAAAGCATTCTGGGTAAATGATGACATGGATAGGTGCTAGCGAGCTATATCCACCCTGAAGGTTAATCTTGGACAATATCTGATGATCGACTCTTTTAAATGAAACCAGAGAGCGTTGACAGAGA